TAGTTTGGATTCAGAAAAACAAAGGCTGCTCTGTGAGAGAAAAAATTGTAGCATTATTGGGCTAACTTCATCCTGAGAACAATTGTCAAAGTCAGTGAAGTTGCACCTAAGATTAATTTGGCCAGTATTGCTTCCATACAAATGTGTCATTCACCAGTCTCTATGAACAGTGGTAGCTTTAGAAAACTACCTTCTGCAGGAAAACTTTGCTAAAGGAAGCTATATCGCTATGGGAATTCTTTCATTATCCAAATTTCTCTATGCTGGGCAGTACTTTCTAATGTATTGCATATATTGCAGCATACAAAGTGAAAGCAATAGATAACAAAAATGCAGGTGAGGAGCAAAAGTCTATTTGACCAGGCAGAGGAAATAGTCAAAAGGATACGTACTAAGGCTGACAACATATCCAAAGGAACCTGAATAGCAAGAGTCTAGCTCCCATGGATTTTCAGTAGGTCACATGACTTCTTTGAAACTCTTCACCTAGTTGCACTGTTAAACGTTACAAATGTTGCTACAGTGCTCACTGCCATAGAGTCAACATTTGCTGAGAAAGATGGCTGGTACTAATATTAAATACCTAGCTCAGAGATCTATAGATCTCAAAGTGCTTTACGAAGGAATTCAGTCTCATGAATCATTTTATACATAGAGAAGCACAGAGGCGCCAAGTGACTAGCCCCAGGTCATCCAGCAGGGCAGTAACAGTCCTGGGTCTCCTGAGCCCCTTTACAGTGCTCTATCTGGCGGTTGTTTCCTATTCCAGCTTTTGGGGAAATGGAGATGATATATAGGCACTGGGGGTCTTTGAGATGTGCAGTTCCTCTGGGTATTTAAAATGGATTGCATGTACACCTGGGATTGGAAATTCTTCAACAGCAGCACCTCTGCTGAGAACTAATGGCAGAAGTGGGCCAACTACCCACTACTCGACCACAAACCACATGAGGATCCAATGCAGAGGGGAAGGAAGGTGGGTTGTGAACACCCACCGGGAGCACACAGCTGGAAGAATTCCAATTACTATATGGTAAGTAACATTCCTTTCGTCAGGTGCTGGTCCCCATGGTACTCGCTGTGGGGTGTTCCTAGGCACTGCTTATTTAGCAAGAACAGGGCCAGATTATGAAAGCGGTTTTAGGGGCTGCAGCCCAGGGCTAAAGCCCCTATGTTCCAGACCAGCCCTTCCTGGCAGGGCAGGGCACGGGGAAAGTAGCTTGCTCAGCTGCTATTCCTTCCCCTCCCCCACCCTCCTGGAGCCATGTTGCATGAGCACTAGGAAGCTTTTTTCCTGTGTTGCCCTAACCTGGAGGCTCTGCCCCCTGCAGCTCCCATTGGCTGGGAATTGTGGCCAATGGGAGCTGCGGGGGTGGTGCCTCACGTTGAGCACAGGCTATGCAGAGCCACTTGTTCTCCCTCCCCCCACACACCGACAAATGGTAGCTGCTCCAGATAAGTGCCCTGCACTCCAATCCTTTGCCCCCTCCCATACCCTAACTCCCTCCCTGACTCTACACTCTAACCCTGAGCTCCCTCCTGCACCCAAACTCCTGCCCTGAACCTGGCTCACACTTCAAACTCCTTTGGATGCAGCCTGGAGCCTTCTGCACCCCAAATACCTTATCCCTAGCCTCACCTGAGAGCCTGCACCTCAATTAGAGACCTCACCTCCGTCCTGCACCCACCCCCCACTTTAACCCGTATTCCCCCCTCCCACACAATCAGCCCTGGCCCCCATAAGAGTTAATTTAGACCTGAGAGGAGTGTGTGGAGATACAAGGCACCACAATTTGCAGAATTGCTGAACCCAAGGGTGCACTGTTTGCCAAGCTCCAGATGGCTGTTCTGCCAATTTCAGAAAACAGGACAGCTTGCGGTGATGCTTCTGAGGCAACCCATGTCCTAGCTGGAGTAGCAGTTGCTGTGAGCTAGTAGCAGAGGAGGAGGACGCACCCAGAGATCCATTTTGAGAGTCTCTGAGAAGATAGGACCTCACCCTTCATTCTTTTGGCAACTGAAGCAAGCAGTCAAGGTGATTCATAAAAAGGGCTTGGTCCAATCCAAATAGAAAGCCAGGGCCCATAGACCATCTGTTATCTCCTGTTGTCTCAAGTGTGATGGGACTTCGGGTAAAATAGAGGTACGTGAACCATTTGATTCAGATGACGACTGCCAGGACCTTAGGAAGAAAGGGAGGATGTAATCCAAAGGACACTGTGTACAGCAAGTATAAGGTCTGCCATGACAGCACCAAGCTCACCTACTCTCCAAGCTGAAGTGGTGGCTGTCAAAAGAGCTAGTTTCATTGACAGATGCAGGAAGGGGCAGAAAGCCAAGGGCTCAAAGGAAGGGTGCCTAAGTTCTGTTAGTACAGGTGGTGCAGGTGGAGATGCAAGACGAAATACTCTAACAATGCTTTTGTGGAATGAGTGAAAAGTGTCCTAGCTTTGCTCTCTACAGACAGGTGCAAATGTGTTGTGGTTGTGAGATGCACTCTCAGTAAGCTGACGGGAAGTCCTGGTGTCTTTAATGAGAGGAGGTAATCGAGGTAATAGGGACATTCTGTCTCTTCTGGAGAAAGGCTACTCAGTGGAAGCATTTCCCCCTGTCACCGAAGCCACTTGGATGGTTTTGTCCTATTCAGCAAGATGGACTGTGCTACTTTTAAAGAGGTTCATTTTAAGCCTGTTCCCCAACCAAAAACCAGCTGTGAGCTGGAGGGAAGTCAGGTTGGAATGGCTACTTCTGCCACCCATTCTGAGATAGTAATGTGGGAAATGAATGCAGTTGGTCAATTTCGGGGCCATGGTGATCCAGACTGACATTGCCACTATGGGGCTATTAGAATTACTGTCAGTACATGTCTGTCAGAGAACACAAGGTATGAAGGGATTAGAGGCTGGGAAGAAAGAAATATGTTTGTATTTCTGAACATAAGAGTAGGAAGGCATCACCTCGGGAGTCTGGACCCTGACAATTGCTAGAGCAACAAACTTGGCATGTCATGTTTTCTTGGGTAGCAAAGAGGATGGCTGCCCCCATTGTTAAAAGATTCATTGGACCATGAAAGATTAGAAATCCATTTGTTGTCATGGTTGAAATACCTGCTGAGCCTCTCTGCTGGAGAATTCACGACTCACATTTACTGGCAGGGGATGGGGGATGCATGTAGTCAATAGCATTAACTGATAAGCTTTTACTTATCAGTTAATCATTTAATTGTCTTCATTTTTACATCCCTAATCTGCATGCCTCACGGACAGCCTGTAATTCTAGCAGGTTGCCATGAAGAGTGGGCTCCTATGAAATCAATGAGCCTTGGGTTTTGTGATCATCCAGGTGTGGTCCCCACCTCAGGAGATACACTTTGGAAAGGAGTGTCTTGGTGAGAGGAGAGCAAATAAAGGAGGTAGCACTACATGTCATTTTTTTTTCTTCCTACCACCTGAAAGATGCTCAAATTGGAAGTGGGAGGGGCTGTGCTTTTGCACACGAGCATCCATGGCAGCGTGGACACTCTCTTGCGCAAGAAAGCTCCGATGGCCGTTTTAGCCATAGGGCTTTCTTGTGCAAGAAAGCCCTGCTGAGCGTCCACGCTGCCCTCTTGCGCAAGATCACTTCTGCACAAGAGAGCTTACACCTGTTAAAAAAGAGCACAGCTCTTGAGCAAGAAGCCCTCTCTTACCACGCTGTGCTGGAAATTTCCTTGCGCAAGAGCAGGCAGACAGTGTGGACACTCTGCGCATTCTTGTGCAAGAGCAGCCATACTTGCGCAAGAAGCTGCAAGTGTAGACATAGCCCAATGTTTTGATTTTTTGATTTACTTCGTAGTCATCCCTGATTACACCAATTATTGCAAATTGAGCAGTTGCCTCTAATTTAGGGCTTGTCTTCATAGCTAAACAAGGGAGCATATTTTATCTTGAAATAGCTCACATGCATTACTTTCCCTAAGGTAAGAAACTCACCTTTTTCTACCAATGAAGACAAACCCTTAAAGAAAAGAAGTAACTTAGCATAGTGCTAACTAGCTGTGGAGTGTCACAGTCTTTGTATACTTCCTGAGATTCTATTCTATCAAGGGTAAGAAGATCGGTAACCCTATACCATCTGCCATGTTGGTGGTGACTCCTGAGCCAATGTTTTTGAATGTATTTTCTGCAAGAACAGACGCTTTGATGCAGAAATTGTAGAGAAAAATAATCTAGTAAAATAATTTGAAGGTCATTTATTAACTGGACATCTGGACTATAATAAATTAGCAATGAGCTA